AAAGATAACAGAAGAATTGTTGATGCCTTTGAGGATTGTTAGAGAAGAGTACCGAAAATGTATAGCCAGGGCTCCCCGAAGGTAAGGATGGTGAAGCTTCATCTCACATAGTTTGGCTATGTTGTTAGAAGAAGCTATTCCTTGGAAAGGGATATTATAGATGTTTGGAATCATAGAGGTTCAGCAAAAAAAGAGGAATGTTCTCAACAAGATAGAGTGATACAATGACTGTAGCAATGGGCTCAAGTGTGTCAGAGATGATGAGGACAGCAGAGGGTAGGACAGTTCAGATCTTTGTCATAGGGTTCCTATGAGTCATATACTCAATTCAACAGCCCCTAACAATAACAGCAAAATTCCAGAGTGGGAATTCTGGTGCTCAGGTAGTAAGGAGGTACACTACAAAAAGCAGTCAGATTTGAATCCACTAGCTGTTTTATAAGGGAAAAAAAGCATCTCCCCCTGTGTGATTTACTTCCTCTGAAACTCTATTATAGGGTCAGCTAAAAATTAGTTTCAACTCAACAGCACATAAGAACAACAATTCTCAACTAGCAAAAATTAGGAAGCAGGACTGACCAACCACTTCTGAAAGTTATGACTCATAGCTGACCATTCATTCAACAGGCTTCAGGAGCTTATACATCACTCAGGAGGAGATAGTCCATCTTTTTCATTCTGGAGCCACAGGTGGCTTTGCTTGCCAGAGTGATGTGGCCTTTGGGTTGGCAGCACAACTCTTCGTGGACTAGACCATCACAGCTCCTTTGAAAGTCTTATGAACAGCATTGGAACATTGCCTGATACAGTGCCAAATGATGAGTCCAACAGCGTGGAAGACGACACTGGGCTTAAGCACAGCAAATATTGCAAAAATAGTACAAAATCAGGCAGAGTTTTGTTCTGTTATAGGTAGGGGTTTATATGAGTGGGAGCAGGAACTGATGATAACAACAATATGAGAAGTAAAGTGGTGAAAAGAGGTAGGAAGGTGTTTTATGTTTGGAAAACATCAGACTTTCCCTTTTCAGAGAAAGCAAGAAGTCTTTGGATCAACAACGATGAAGAAATCAGCCTTCCTGAGGAAGAGACCAGGATCCTTGTGCAGGGTGGGAAGTTGAGGGCTGGGAAGGCAAAGGCTCTCTGAAGTCAAGAGTTAGACTGAATTCTGTAAGGCCGAAGGGAGACATTGTGTTTTCTTGAGCAATAGATGACATACTTTATGATCTGAATCATAATAAAAGAAAAAAAAAAAACCAAGAAAAGCAAAACAAAAATAAACTTTAGCAAGATAATCTGGATTCTGTAGATAAGTAAGTTGTGTTAGATAAGAAGGGGATAGTAAGAAAATTATGTGGTCACCCAGGTGAAAATGATAAAATAATGCAATGGAGGATAGTTGTTGTAAGATTGGAGAGGAAGGGATGAATTTCAGAGGAAACAGATATCCCCAGATTGGAACAGATTTTGCAGATTCTCTTATTAAGACATCAACGGAACAAAGAGAGACCATTCTAGAGCAGGGGAAATCCTTCAACAATGATGCTGATGAGTGATGAAATAATGGCTCTTAATTCTATTTGTAAGATTCTGAACACCACGGTAGGCAAGGCAACTTTGAGGGGAGAAAGACTATGTTTGGGATCTGTAAACAATTTTAAATTAAAGTTTATAGTGTTGCTGCTGAGGTTCCTATGTGGCTGAAGCTCTGACTTACAGGTATCACTAAGGGTGCCCTCAGATAAGTAATCACTCCTCCCCAAGCTCGTGTGGAACCACTGATAACTGCACTTTCTCTGAGGGCAAAGGACACAGTCTGGGTCTATGTGACTTAGAAAAAGTTAAAAGCTGGTTACAGGCCTCAGCCTTCACATGCTTTAGATTTCAAAGTCTAATACAAGCCTAGCAAAGTTTTTTTAAAAGGATTCAGTGACAGAGAAGAGTTAACACTAGGAAGTGATAGCATCTTTGACAATCATGTATTTTTTCGCTCTTCATAAAGACCAACCACCTGGGGTGAGAAAGGCTATTTCAAGATCCTCAGAGGAACAGATGAATGTGGAATTGAAATCATGGTAATGGCAGCCACACCAATTCCTACACTGTAGAGTAGATCTCTCCGTATTCTCATGTCAGCTACAAGCAACAATCAAAAAGTTTGATTAAATACAAAATGCTATATTAGAAATCTAGACGAAATTCCCCATATTTTTACATTATATACCTCTGGAAATCCTATGAACTTTGATAAATGTCGATAGTTACAGAAAGGCTTCAGGCCTTTTGTTCTTAGGGTCACTATGAGTTGTGCTCAACTCGAAGGCAATCAACAACAACAACATACATCACAAGAAAATATGAAAATTCTCATGACATTTTTTTTGTTCTTTGCAAGATGATAAAAAGAGGAGGATGTGCAGGGTGTGGATTAACCATGGGGTTGTACAATTTGATGGGTGGAAGGGTGAGGGAAATTGGAAGAATCTGGTCTGAAAAACAATGTATTCGAATTTTGTAAACTAGTATAAATAATAAAACAAACAACAAAAACCAAAAAAGATGTCTACAACAGAGTTCAAGAGGAATCTAGTAGCAAAGAACATAGTGTGTTGAGGGGCTAACCAAAAGGTGAGTGGTTTAAATCCACTGTTGCTTTGAGGGAGAAAGAGAGTCTGGCTCTCCTGGGTAAGACTCACACCCTGGGAAACCTAATAAAGGGTCACTGTGAATTGGAACCTACTTGAATGCAATGGTTTTTAAAAAAAAAAATAAAAAATGAAGTGATAGGAATTTTGTGTTATTATTGTTGTTAGGAGCCATCAGGTTGAGTACATCTCATAGCAACACCATGAACAATGGATCTGAACCTTGTCCTATCCTATGCTATCCGCATCATCTCTGATATACTTGAGTCTATTATTAGAGTCACTGTGTTAATCCAACTCATTAAGGTTCCTCTTTTCATTGACTGACCCTTCACCTTTCCAAGTATGATGTCCTTTTCCAAGGACTGACTCTTCCTAACAACATGTCCAAAATATATGGGACGAAGTTTTACCATCTTTGCCTCTAAGGAGCAATCTGGTTAGGCTTTTTCTGTGACACATCTGAATGCATCAATTCTTCTTCTGTTATACTTATTCTACTGTCATTTTTTGGGGTTTTCCCCATTTTTAAAAAAATGGGGATAAAATTATGTAAAGTTCTTAGTCATAAGCAAACAATCTGAGTTTTTGTTCCCAGGGCCTCAGAACCATAGTGGGAAGCTGGGCGACGTCAAGGTCAATTGGCATAACAGCCCACAAGATTACCTTCTACCTCCTACTCTGATGGGATCTTAAAAGCTTCCAAAAAGCCACTGAAAGTACAGCTGGTGATCTGCTCCTATTTAGAACAAAGAAGAGGAAAGAAAGGCAAAGACATATAGGAACAGTTAGTTCAAAGGCCTAATAACTTCCACAACCCAGAGACCAGTAGTCCCATTCTCGAAAGGGACACAGAAAAAAAAAAAAAGGACACAGGAGACAATCTCAAATTCAAGTGGGTGAAGAACTCAAAACAATAAAAATGATCAGGTTTGCAAGTCTGATAGAGGCTGATGGAACCCCCAAGACTCTGTTTTCAATCACTGTCAAACCAGGAGCATATCTGCATGGCTCAACCTGCAGTTAAATTACAGACTTATAAGACGCCCCTTAAAATTATCAATCAAAAGGCCAATATTTAGTCAGGATTACAAAGCTTAGAAGACAGGAAGGAATAGCATAAAATTATTATGGGAAATAAGACTCACAAAAAGAAAGAGGGACTGACGCAGTTACATTGTACAGATTAGAATGGATGCCATAAAACAAAATGTGTATGAATGATTAAATGGAAAAATAAGGGTGTCTTGTAAACTTTCACTTGGGCCATGATTAAAAAAACAAAAACAAAAACCCAAAACCCAAAAAATAAAGGAAAAGAAGGCCTTGGAACATTTAGCTGAAATAGAATTAAGAAGTCAGACAAGGAATGTTGAGAGGGAGCTGGTTTCTGTAATCAGTGAAACATTTGTTCTTAATCATTGATAGCATAAGAGCACCTTCATTGAATGTTGATTTTTTTGAACATATCTTGACTGTAGATACCTATCTTTTATGAGAGTTTGTCATCTAGAAAAACAAAGGCACAGAGCTCTCAACAATTTTTGACTATGTTATTCTAGTGTCACAGATGCATTTTTTTTCTTTCTTCATGAAATTGAATGACTGGAACAGACCAACATCTGGATGTCTTTAAACACAGAGAAGTACTCAGAGCTGAAACAAAAGGATATACCTTGTGTTGTACAATTGATAAGAGATTAACACTCCATCAACCATATTGTTGTTAATTTTAATATAGTCAAGGAGGGTTTAAAAGACAAGGGGTTGTGCTGGAAGATTGATTGGTCTTTAAATAGTTAAAAGTGTGTATTTGCCATTTGGTGGGGTGATTTGTTCTTTCAGATGCAGACAGAGCCTATAAAAAAATGGAAGTGGGAATATGAACGTGGCAAAAATGTGTTTGCTTTTCTTAGCTAAATCTGCTAGTCTGTGTGTGCTATAAAATGGCATTCTCCTTCCATGGGAACCGCACTTCCTACACAACATACGACACGACACTCTGCCTTCTCTTTACAGACTTCCCAAAGTAGATAAAGTTAACAATCTGCCTGCATTTTTGTGAGCAAACCCAGGATGAGATCATTCATTTAGCCCCTGATGGTGGGTCACCTGAAAAGAGTTCCAAGATAAGGTTCTTGAAGAAAGAATCTTTTCCAATTAGCCAACCCAAAATGATGCTACAGATAACTTCCAAATTGGTTACTCAGAACAAAATGTTAGATCAACAAGCAAAAAGCAACACTCACAAACGCTGCTGGAGGGATTGGTGGAATTGTGTGCTTAATGAAACCCAGAGGGGCCATGTGGAGAAGCAAAGGCAGTCTGGACTCAGGTAGAGACAAGTGGACTTACCAGATTCAGGAATGTCAGGTACTTTGACAGGCCTCCGTTTTCAAATATTTTGGCCTTTGGTGGATCATTTTGGCATTGGAGAATGTAGTTGCAGAGGAAAATATACCAGCTTGTGACGAGGAAGTGGTATATGCAGGTAGAAGTTTTTGCCATGACTTCTCTCAGCTGGGAGCAGGCAATGCCTCAGGTAACTTCCTCTCCCGGCTCACAGCTGAAGTGCTACCACAGGAAGAGCTGCTTGAACCCTAGTCTCCTCAGGAACCAGACTTCCGGCGTTAAAATGCCAGCAGAGGCTGAACTTTGCTTCTCTCCTGATAAACTTGGGAGACAGAATTATTGCTGGTTTATAATAGCAGATAATCTTCAGATTAGCATAATTTCTACATTCACGCTTTACTCTGGGCAGGGAGCCTCCCAGGAGCTGCACTTTGTACCATTTGACTGGGCGGGATCATAGTTAAGTACACTTACGAAATACCAACACTTATTAAAGTAAATCATGGTGTTATTTTTCTCTCTTTCATTCAGGCAAAACAAAAATGTTGTAATGATATCTTTTGAGAGAAAGAAAGTAGTAGGCTGATAAACTGAGGAACTTGGGGAGAGATTGTTAGTATGATTAAGTAAAAAGATAAAGTGTTAGCATCCTGCTCCTGCAATTTCCTGTTATGTTGTTGGGTACCATCAGGTCAGAAGTGACTCTTAATTGACCCTCCAGTAGGTCTTCTGAGGATAAAGCACATGGGAGGAGATTCTACCTCTTTCTCAGAACAGCTAGGGGATTTGAATTGCATAACCTTAAGTTGGCCGTACAGCTCCTTATCACAGAGCCATTAAAGCTCCATGAAGACACCTAAGAACTTATAAAATCTGAGGCAAAATTTGACCATTTATAGGCAACTGACCTTTGATGTTGATTTTTTTCCCTTTTAATTTACATATTAGAGAACCGAGGATTGCCCTGGGCTATTTCAGACTCTCCTTTGGTGTAAGTGCTTACATCCCAGGAAGGAAAAAACCAGGAAAACTCACGCACAACTGCTACATACCTGAGGTTAGACCAGTTGGGAAACAGGAGGGTACCTGCATTGCCTTGGAGAAGACCAGAAACACCTGGCCTGGGAAAGGGTACACGATTGGGATCTGCCTCCAGTTCAACAGACGAAACTGGAGGAGTTGGAAGTGTGGTACCTTGTGACATCACCAGCTTGTTTCCCTGGGCAACTAACTCAGATGATTCTGAGTAAATCCCTAAGAGGAATGCTCCCCAGTGCTGTTATACAATGTTGTAGCTGACATTTGATCACTTAACCAGCGCTTAACTTTGGGGAGAAAGAACTGTAGGCTGTACAATGGGGGTAGGAACAAAAACAAAGTCACTTCTTATGTCAGCAGATGCCCAAACATGAGCAACTGTGGATAAGAGAAGAAAACACAAAGCTAGACAGCAGTTGTTGTGTGCCATTGAGAAAGAATTGACACATAGCTTACCCTCCAGTGGATTTTCAGGGCCAGTAAATCACATGGGAAGAGATAACCCATCTTTCTCCCGCAAAGCAACTGGTGGATCCAAACCTCACACATGTGGGTTGGCAACACAGTCTCTTACCATTAAGCCACTAGAACTCCTAGGCAGTGTTAATCTGCATTTAAACCATTTCAGAAGAGAGGGTGATTCAGGAAACGAATGATATAAAACACAATACAAAATTATAAATGCCACTCCATCAAGTTTTTGAGGTTTTAAATCTTTACAGAAGGAGATGGACCATTCTTCTCTCACAGAATGGCTGGTAGATTTGAGCAAACTTTTGGTTAGTTGATCAACACTATGCCACTTAAGAAATCATTGCTGTGAAGTTAGAACTGACTCATAGCTTACTTCTTTTGATTTCTGTGGGTGACAAGTACAGGGAACTGCTGGAGGGCCCAAGAAGCCAGCCCCAAGGCAGTCACATCTAAGCTGAGGTGGCCCTCCCTATAACAATGCACTGACCAACCTCAATTTCCATCTTAAACCTTCTTCCTCTGCCAGCTTCTTACATGTTAGTGTGCACAAGGACCAGGAGCCAGAGAAGCCTACTGCTCATTTCATGCTACGTAGCAACTGTAGTATTTTAATGTACCATAAGTTTCTGGGACTCCCAGTACATGTCACATTCCAACCCTGTTGACGCATCAACGTACTTTCTACAGCTTCAAGCTGCTGGCCGGATAGGTCCTGAATGAGCCAGAGACACCTTTATATTTAATTTATTACCTCCCCCATGTCTAGCTTTTTAAAAATCTCTTTCTCGTATCAATGGCCTCATAATCCACCTGTGAGTCGTCCTTGTCTCTTAACTCGCAATTAACTCCTGCCAATTACATCTCCCAAATCTAGTTCAATTAAGGACCCTTCTTTGTATCCCATTGGTTGCTAATAGCTACTCCAGTTCAAGCCTTCTTTTCTTGCCAATACCATGACAGTTTCTGTACTGATTTTTTAAATCCTAGGCTTATCATCTAAATCCACTCTTTACAAGGCAGGTATTTCCTGTTCCTTCTGAAATAGCAAACTTTTCACACCACTTCTTTCTCAGCATTTGTGCCTATATTGCCTCAGGATCACCTATAGGATAAGAGTCAAAGTCCATCAGCTGCTCCATAGGAGAAAGGCAATTTCCTCTCATGTGATTTACGGCCCCTGAAAATCTGCTGAAGGGTCAGTTGTGGGTCAGTTCTGACTTGACAGTACATAATAATAACATCTATTAAAAACTTGCTCTGTACCTTGTGTTCAATTATTACTGGGGGACAGGGAGGGTAGAGAATGCTTAATTAAGACCCAGCCTCAGCCCTGGAAGGAATTCACAAGCATACTCTTAACAAGTTGACAGTGTTGGAAAAATATCAAATGATATTTTTCTGAGAGATGAGAGAGTGCCAAAGACATATGGGAGTGAGTAGTTTTGGATATTATCCTATAGGTGATATTGAGGAATAAATGCAAACGACTGCAACAGCACATCAGCAGAGAACTACCAGAAGTCCAGGCTGTGTTTAGAAGGGGTCGTGGTACTAGAGATATTGTAGATAATGTTAGATGGATCTTAGCTGAAAGCACGGAATATCAAAGGAATGTCTATCTGTGTTTCATATGCAAAGGCGTTTGATTGTGTGGATCATAACAAACTGTGGCTGACTCTGAGAAGAATGGGAATCCCAGAACACTTGATCATGCTAATGCGAAACCTATACTTGGACCAGGAGGCAGTCGTCAGAACAGAGCAAGGGAACACTGCATGGTTCAAAATTGGGAAGAGCATATGCCAGGACGCATCCTATCTCCATACCTTTTCAACCTACATGCAGAACAGATTATCCGGGAGGCTGGGCTCTATGAGGAGAAATGTGGGGTCAAGATTGGTGGATGATTTATCAACAATCTGTGTTATGCAGATGACACAACCCTGCTTGCTGAAACTAAAGAGGACCTGAAGCACCTGCTACAGAGTGTCAAGGACTGCAGCCTACAATATGGATTGAGGCTCAATGTCAAGAAGACAAAGATTCTCACCACTCGACCAATTGGCAGCATCAGGATGGATGGTGAAGATATTGAGATTGTGCACAGCTTTAGTTTGCTTGGCTCCATAGTCAACAGTCTTGGCACCAGCAGCCAGGAAATTAAAAGGCGCATTGCCATGGGAAAGTCTGCTGTTAGGGACCTCTCCAAAGTACTGAAGAGCAATGGTGTCTCTCTGGAGACTAAGGTGCATCTGATACAGGCCATGGTCTTCACAATCACTTGTTGTGTATCAGAGAGTTGGACAATGACCAGGGAGGATAGAAGAATTGATGCCTTTGAGTTGCGGTGCTGGAGAAGAGTATTGAGAATACCATGGACTGCTAGGAAAACAAATAGATTCGTCCTGGAAAGGGTTAAACTGGGTGGCTCCTTGGAGGTAAGGATTCTGAGGCTCCATCTAACATACTTTGGACATGTGAGGAGAGACCGGTCCTTGGAGAGGGACATCATGCTTGGGAGGGTAGAAGGACAGTGCAGGAGGGGAAGGGCCTCTATGAGGTGGGTTGATTCAGTGACTGGGGTAATCAGGATGGGTGTGTCAGAGACAGCGCGATTGGCACAGGACAGAGCAGAGTTTAGGGCTGTTGTACATAGGGTCGCTATGAGTCGCAAGCAACTCGACGGCACATAACAACAACAACAACGGCTACATATAAATGAATAAATAAAAATTCTAGAACAATGTACTAAGTACTAGAATAAACCAAATCAAACCAACACACTACCTTTGAGTTAATTCCAAGTCATAGATAGTAACCCTGTAATATGGAGTAAAACTGTCCCACAGAGTTTCAAAGGCTGTCATCTTTATAATGGACACAACTTCATCTTTCTCCCACAGAGTAGCTGATAGATTCAAACTATGCATCTTTTAACTAGCAGTCAAATGCTCAGCCACTAAAATACTAACATTCTTCAAAAATGATACACGAAATATGCATTAAATGTTGTTATTGTTGTTTGTTGTTAGGCACCATCAAGTCAGGTACAATTCATAGTGACACTATAAACAGACCTGGACACTATTCTATACCATTCCATCCTCACAATCTCTGACACCTCACGCCTATTGTTACAGTCACTGTGTCAATCCATCTAGTTGAAGATCTTCCTCTTCTTTGCTGTTCCTCCACGATCCCACGCATGATGCCTCTCTCGGGAATAACCTTTCCTAGCAATATGTTCAAAGCATATGAGACAAAGCTTTACGGTCCTTCCCTCCAACTAGCATTGTGGCTATAACTTCTCCAAGAGATATGTTATTGTTCTTTTGGCAGTCTGTGGGATATTCAGTAAAGTGATATTATCACTGGTCTGTCCATTTGCTGTACAGATGTAACTTGTGGTTGCTGTAATGCTGAACGCTGTGACACTGATTTGTCAAATGCAATAATTGTTGCATGGTGGACAGAGTTTGGTGGAGCTCCCTGATTAAAATAAGATTGGATGCAGGAGTGGCATCCACTTCTGGTATAGCTGGCCTCTGGAAAGCCTATGAACTTGGAGAAACGGTAAAAGTTATACAACAGGTCTTTCATTCATAGGGTTGCTATTGAGTCATCTATGACTCAATTGTACTTAA